TGCACCGATTCAAAATCGTCACATAAAATTTATTTTTGTGTTACGTTCTGAAATTGGAACCAATTGTTTCGGTGTGATCTCTTGCGATTTGAAATCGTATCATATTTTGTGCAATATAATCCTTTTTTCCATGTGGTTTAAATGAATATATTTAAATTGGCTCAAATTTCCATATAAAATGTGCAAACAGAATAATACTTCTCAATAAAATAATATCAGAATAATACTTCTCGTATCCAGATATATGGTTGCGTTAGCAGCAACGGCAGCCGCAATCGTTCCGACGAAGCAAGGCGAAAGAAGAACGCGCATTCACATAGAGGGGAAGTACAGTGCGCATACACATCGTCGTTAAAATATCACAGTAGCCATTGGTTCGTGTTTTAACGACGATGTGTATGCGCACTGTACTTCCCCTCTATGTGAATGCGCGCTCTTCTTTCGTCTTGTTCCGTCGGAACGATTGCGGTGCCGTTGCTGCTAACGCAACCATATATCTGGATACGAGAAGTATTATTCTGATATTATTTAGCATATTTTGAATGTTTGAAAATGTGTATTTTTATTTAGAATTTTGTAAATCGACTCAAAATCATGGGTAAAGATAGTTTTAACTTTTGTTCAATAAATGAGGCAAATTGAATTTTAATAGAAATAATGAATTTTTGAGTATTGTTGGTCCTATCTCGCTTCAGTTGGATGGTCGATGAATATCTTCAGTAGAAAGGAACAAGGAGCGGCGAATTTTGGTCTTGTCCATTGCAAACCCAGCTTGTTTGTTCCTTTGAGCTTTAGCTGTAGTCGCTCTTGTTTGAATTCTGTCGCGAATGAAATCCTTTGCCGCAGACTTCCCACGAATTGTCAACGATTGCTGGAAAAAAGAGCATGCAGTTAAAAAAAATTCGAAAGTTCGTGCGTTAGCCCAAAATCAAATCGAAGAGTGGGAAATATCTAAAAGAAATCGGTGCGTTTTTGTCATGATCACAATGTCTTCCTTACCGTGGTTGTATTTTGCGAATTCATGGCAATGTTTTTATTTTGAATTGGCGATGTGAAATCCTCAGTTGAAACGAACAACGAGCGGCGAATTTTTGTCTTGTTTGCTGCTTTGGCGATCACACTATTTGCGCTCTTTTTAATCTTCGCTGTCGTAGTTCTGGTTTGCATCCTCCCAGAAATAGATCCATGTGTCTTTGGTTTTTTTGCTGTCGTGGGTGTAGATAAACGTTCACCCGATGCTTCAATGAATGGTGTTGCATTGCCGTTTGATACCACACCAATAATCACGTCGCAAAATTTTACTTCGAGTTAATGGTGTGCAATTTTGGAATTGAATTGGCGGTGTACAAATGGTGATGTTCGGTGACTCTTGTGTTACTGTGTAGCTTCGACGTGAGGTTATATTCGAGTTGTTGTCAGGCGAATAAGTAATGCGTTGGAGAATAAGGCTTGAATTTGACGGTGATACATTTCGACTGTGGATTGGTGATAGCAATACGGAAAAAGTCAAGGCATCTGGTTTGAAATTTGTGCAGGTGTGGAATTTTGACGGGGAGTAGCCGGGGCTGTATTTGATGAGTTGAATGCTACTTGAGCATTTCGTTGCGCGCTATCTTGGACACCGCTGGTCGAATAAGCAATCCGTCGTAAAATTTAACTCTCAGGCATCGTCGATGTGGCAGCGTCTGCTGTGTTCGGCAAAACTGACACTGGATTAACGCGATTTTTCTGTCTTTGCATCTTTTTGTTTTTGTTTTGTTTCGTATGTTCGAATGCGACGAAGTTTGGCCAGAAAGAGTGTTTGGTGGTTCATCTGAAGCCAAATACATTTGGATTCAGCGCTCTTTGCTTGTTTATATAGGTTTAAGACACTCACTCCGTCATTTGTGCTCTTGCGAACCTCATTTTTCAAGAATTCTTCGAAAGCAATTCTGAAAAAAACGTGCTCGTCAGGTTTTTCATCTGAATGTGTAGGAAAGTACTCTACTTCACGAGTGTCTTCGTGATACCGAGCCCCAGAGAGGCAATTTGGTTCGCGTAAGCAATCTAGATATATTGTTTTTGAATTTTCCCCCGATTTCTTATGCAGAAATCCATCACAATCTCTGTAATATTCCACAAACACTACAGAAAGAAACAAATGATTCAATTCTATGCATTTTCAATGAAAATAAACCAGAAAAATAATTACCTCCAACTGAATTCATTTTCACTTCACACTTTGATCAATGTTGGCGAATTGTCGAAATCAAAGTTACCGGACTTTATGTAAACAAACAAATGTCAAGAGAAGAACGAATATGCGATGTGACTCACACGAACATAGCCATAACAGAACATAGCTGTTTAGTGTGAGTCTGAGTGTATGCGTCAATATTCGATCAACCGTTCTTTTGCACAACTATTATGTGTATGTGCGAATTGTGCGAATTGTCAAAACAGCAAAGCATTGCTGTTGATTGGATCAATTGAAAACCTTTTAAATGCTTTGTTGTGATTAATTGCGATTTTGATCGCGAAGAGATAATATTTTATTATGTTATATACATATTTGGAATCAGAATTTAATATTGAATAGAAATAATACTGTTGAATTGAAAAAAAAAATCGCGGACACTCTAATGCACAATACAATGCTTTCTCTCTTTCATTTTTCGAAGTATTTCCTCTCAGCTGAGGACATTTGTTGCGGAAATGCGGACCTTTGCACTGATAACATTGCACTTTTTTATTCTTATGTTTTCCTTTTGCAACCACTTTCAATGCACTTTTCGCACCAAAACTTTCTGCGCCAAATGAGGAGTCATTTAGAATAATATTTTCCGCAAAATCGACGGTAATACTTTGACCACTTTTCTTTATGCCCATTATCATCGGCCTATACTCGGCCGAAGGCTACCCAACATCAATGAGCCCGCTGTTTTCCCGTCATTTGAGAAACCGACTGTCTGCACCTCCATAATACCAACATTTAGTTCACATATTCTTATCGAGTTGACAAATTTTCAGCTTTGGTAGTCACAAATTTCACGAGAGTAAATTTTTTTTGGAAAGTGCCACTATCTTGAAACGCAGTTACAATACCATCCCAGGCATCTTTCGTACAAACGGCGGCTGCGACATATGAATATAACGTCGGATCAATCAATAGTGTTAGCTCTCCTTTAGCTTTTGCATCTGCCGTCACATCTCCCGCTTTTTCCGCATCAGGCTTCTTCTCAGTCCACACCCATAAATCTTTTATGGTCAGGTAGGCTTCGATCTCCCATGAGTCAAAATTTTCACGCCTCTTGAATAATTCAAACAGTTCTTTAAAAAAAACAAACAAACAGTGGTTTACACGTAGCTGTTGCACATAACCTGTGGGCAAAGCAGTTTTTAATTATTGATTGAAATAAAATACCGTGTTTATGGTTCGAGGTTCGAAAACAGACTAACTCTTCAGCTTAAATTTTTCTTTCTTATGACTACGCAGTTTTGACAATTAGCATAAATTTTGACAACAAGCGAAATCAAAACTCTTACCTCACAGATCAGCCATCATATTCCGAAATTCAAACAGGCCCCAATGTCCATCAAGAACTTGCTGGCGGTCCACCCATTGACGCCAAAGATCTGAAATGAAATAAAAAATAAAAGTAAAATATTCGAAGAGAAAAATTTATCATGTAAAAAATGAAAAAGGAAACAGAAAGCTACTTACCACGTGTCCAACGGACGCTGCCTCCAGTAGCAAACATCTGATCAATTCGGTCCAAACAGCCAAAACGCAAAGTATTTTTTTTTATTTGACCCACCTTTTGCTTGGAAAATTCATGAAATTGATTTTTTAGTCCATTTTTTTCCTTCATTCAATTTTGGCGCACGATTGAAAGAAATACCAGTTGCATCTTAAACATTCACCCTCTTACTTTTATCTCTTTTACAGATCAAACAGGAGCCAGTTTCGGAGAGTGAAGATGAAGGTGTGTCTAGTACAAATAATGCAGACAGTGAAGCAAGTAGCAACACGGCCGTTGAAGAAAAAACCGTTCGGTCCAGTTGAAGTGCATCGGAAAAGTCGAAAACCAATCGTCCTCTCAACACAAGCGGTGAATCATTATACGAAGATGCAATGTCACAGCCGTTAGTCAGCATGGCAAATGTAAGCATAAAATCCGACTTGAGACTGAGTCGTTTATATCCGTTCCAAGTGCTTCGGATTTAATTTTAAATCCGGCTTTAATTTTTGCACTATTTTCGGCGAAAAAAATCCTAGGCTACACCAGAACACCCAGGCACCATTTTCCTATCATTTTTACCCTGAATATGCATTTAGCGTGGGAAATGTCGAAGGTATGGATTTTGTTCAAAATATACCCTAAATGGGACCACATATCCTCTTAAATAGGCTTCTGCCTTAGGCAACAAGTATTTGTTGTCAAAACAAAAGCCCCTAATCACATAATTTCTCATTAGTTTGCTTCGAATTTTGGCTTTTTTTAATTTTTTTTTAGAAAAACTGAAAAAAATACCATTATTCTACTCAAAATACAAAGGGCTTCTAACTCCGAACGAATATTTCATATAAATAGGGGAAATTGGGGGATTCCGGGCCACAGTTTATTTTTCGTTCATAACTTTGTGATAAATATAATTTGTACATCTAATCATGAATTTATTTTTTCAACGCTACAATTTTTTTACAAATCAACAAAACTTAATTGTGAGTATAAACAAAAACAAACAACAAATATCGGCAACACGACTTCTATTTTCTTGTATTGATTGTACCTCCGCTGAAGTTGGTAATATACACATTTTTGCCACATTCTGCTTTTTTTGTTTTGGTTTTCAATTCTAAAACAATAACGGTTACACAAAATATTGAATAAACAATAAAATATTTTACTTTTATAAATGAAAACTTACCTGAGAATAACTCTGGATTCTTACATGCCGCTTCAAACATAAATAGAGCGAATTTGAATATATTTTTAAACTTTCCCTCTGACATGATTTTTGCTCTAGCACTATTTTCGGCTAAGCTTGCGGCTTTTGCTTCATCATTTGATCCCTCGGGAACCATCGCAGTGGAGGGTTTCTGCATTTCTAAAATTTAGAACAAAAAGAGAAGACAAATATACCGAAAGTTAAATGAGCTGTGATTATTCAAAAAATATATCTGAGTTTAATTTCTTGATAGAAATTGAAATGAGCTATTTGGAGAAATTACCTTTTAAGTACTGTTCATAGGCAGAACATTTTGTCACAAATGTAGCATCTAGGGCATTGATAATGAAATTCTGCAAATCGGCTGAGTTCCCAAAAGTTCTGCTTGGGTTGTTATCGTCGATTGTCTTCAAAGCTCGCGAAATTCCGTCCATTTCTCCTTCCATTTTCACTTGAGTCACTAGAAATAAGAAGAATGTTGCTTGTAGTAAATACATTTTACTATTTTTGCAGTGTGACTGTGTAAACGCAAAAGTTTAACTGAAAACTTTTCAACTCCTATGCAGCAATTTATACTAAATTATAGACAAAACAAGTGCATTAACGTATTATACAAACTGCAGAATTGCATATTTGGTTGAAAGAAAATTTAATTCATCAGTTTTTGAACTATATTGTGTACATTGTACTATCGTGTTTGTGTTATTATTTAATTAATTAATTAACGAAACACAAACATCAAACATAAAACATAAGATTTGTTTTTAATGATAACTTACATTTAAATGCAAACTGTCACTATAGGTTGTTAATTGGCTTGCTGGACGGTCATCAATAAAATCCGATTCGTATTCGCTCTCTTCTTCTTCTTCTTCATGGATTTTTTCCGGCAGTTCACTATCAACTTCTTCTTCTTCACCAGATGTGAGTAATTCTTCATTTTCTTCTTCTTCTTCTTCTGCGTTGATTGCACTATCATTTTCTTCTTCGTCAGACGAATCTAATAATTTTAACTTTTCTTTTTTTGGAGCGAATTTCGTCGCACTCACTATCAATGAACTGACAACTTCTTTTTACCATTTTTAGTTTCACAATTAATGAATGAATGAATTACGTCGAAACTTTTAAATGAGTAAATGAAATCAAAGTCTACTGTTATGTATCTCTTTGTAAATTTGAAATGAAATGAATGTAGAATTGACAAAAATGTTTTGATCGTAAGCATTCCTCCGGATATGGTATCATATTCGGTTCCGAGAAATCATTTTAAAATGTAATTTGACATTTGTTTTAAATTATACTTACTGAGGTATTTTTCATTTTAGCTTTCATTCATTCATTAAAGGCACGAAAAATTAAGTGTATTATTCTTTTGAAAAATGACTTGAAAATAATTAAATAATTTCATATTGTGATTTTCGTTTTTTTCGTTGTTTGTTTGTTAGAAAAATGGACCATGGACAACACGCAATGAGACGTAGATACGCCATCATCGGATGATGGACAAGAGGTTGTATTGAACTTTCAACGTCGTCGCACGCGTGCGAGTTAATATCGATAAGAATAACGATATTATCTTGAAACTAATGTAACAATTGTATTGTTATATTGCACAATAAATTGAAATAGTTAATTATGCACAGTCATAGCTGATTATTATAATTGATTCAAACCATGGTCAAGTTTAATTGGAAAAGCAAATCAAATTGAAAAGAACAAAATCAATTACCATATTTGTACATTTGAAATAACAAACACCTTATCAAAATTTATAATATTAATAACTTTAGAATGCATTGTAAAACAGTTCAGTTTGTGGAGTGATGAATAAAGCACATAGTGCTCAAATTTTACTTAACAACTGTTCTCATTGTTTTTTTTGACTTGATAATAATATCTGTCATTAACTGGGGGCTCAACAGGGAAATGAACCCTGGGCCTCTCGCATTTTTCAAGCTCACATCCACCTTGGACCGGAACGTGGATAAGCAACATATTTTGCTTGGTGAACAAATGTACAAAATCCGAAAATGTGCGAAATGTTTCGTTCTCTAATACACAATAAATGTAACATAACGCGGACACGCACGAAAACAACAAGCAGCTCTTGTGATTAAAATTTTTTTTTTTTTTGAAAGTAAACTCGAAATTGACTTACTATTGATGTATGTATCGTATGCATCCTGCAGAAAATGTGGCGTTGATGGCTTTTAGGAAGTATGTTTCCAATTCTTCCTTATTGGTAAATCTCGAATTTTTCATACGTTCACATAACGCTTTTTGTTGGTTGAAGATGGTATCCATATCAACATCAGCTCTCACAGAAGTTATCACTATAAAAAAGCAGAATGTTATTTTGAGCAATGAATTCATGTTGATTGTGACAACGGTAAACTGCAACCGACAAACACCTTACATAAGCTTCAACAATTTAAACTGAATTATAGACAAACCATAGAAAAAACCAATGCACTTTTTTATGACTTTACCAAACTGCAGAATTGCATACTTTGTTGAAATAAATGGGGCAATGATGGGCATATATTTCTGGTCTGTTTGTGTTTTTATTTTATTTGAATAAACATGAAACAAAAAACAACAAACTTATTTCGGTTGACAACTTACATTTAAATGCAAACGTTGCATGCTCATTAAAGGCTACATCAAACATTTGTAACAGTTGTGGCTGACCTTGATCCAAATCATATTTTGAGCATCGATTCAATATTGATTTACGTTTAACTGCGTTCAAATTTTGAAAATGTAAATCAATTTCTGGTTCTATTTGAGGCGCATCAAATGATATACATTTTATGATTGGATGATCAATTGCATAGCATTTCTCTGTATTTAGAGAGTGAATGAATCCCAGCACATTTGATGATGATGTGTTTAAATTCTCCAAACAATTTTTAAAAGAGTATTCACATTCACAATGTCGAATGTTTGTTTGTTCGTTTGTGTAATTTAATTCAATATGTTTATGTGCCTCACATTTATGAAACGAACGACAGCACAAATCGACACGATCACTTTCGTTTAAATATCCTCCCTTTTTTACACTGTCAAATGTGGCTTCGAATGATCTTTTCAACGTGAATTCGGTTGGTGATAAAATTGACTCACAGAATTTGGTATCACTTAGATTAAATTTTTTCAATAAATTCGGTTCAGTAAAAAAGGTTGAATTTACTGAACGAATAATCAGAAACGGGAACATAGAAAATAACAGAGATGACTGAAGCGCACCGAGTGACCGAGCAACGGCCGCACGGACACTGAGTTTGCGTGCTTAAAACATGCTCAGTGCGATATTGCGCTGCAGCACAAACAAACCCACTCCATGAAGAGAGTATAAGCGCACCAACGGAGTGCGCTACACCGCACTCGTACACAACGAAGAAACAATAGAGAGGATATACAAAGAAAGAAACACAAAGAAAAGAATAAGACAATACACACTCAACTCTTTATATGTGTGTATAAACCATAATAGGCAACAGAGTTAGAGTGCGCACGCATTTCTTAACAACAAAGTCAGAGTGCGCACATAAACTCATAACGAAGTGAGTGTAAACGCACAGAGCAGAAAACGACTCTCAGTTGAGTTGCTGAATACGCTACTGAGCGTGCGCTTAGTCATCTCTGGAAAATAAAACATTTTTTGTTATAGTTTCCATGATGCAACCCATTGAATCGTGAGACCGTTCGTGAGGCAGACACACAAACCAAGTAGACTGATTGAAAATCAAAACACTACTAAACCAAAGAATCAGTCAGCATTGCATGAAAAACGAAAACTATTCTAATCACACACGCATTTAAAGATTTCAAAATTTATTTTCTACAGATTTTGTTGATATGACAACATTCCAAAATGAAACCTGTTCCATTCCCATGTTTGGTAATTTTCTTTCATTACAAAGATGTCGGAATGTTAAGACATTCATTCAACACATTCAAAATTCTAAATAATAAAATCCCATTAAATACTATCATATGGGCATTGGTAAACATTGTAAACAATCAGCTAAGTAAAATCGAAATTTAAGAAAATTTTAAATCCAAATCAAAATTCTAAAATTGTTCTATAACTCTATATAGTGAACTGAGGAAGGTTCATTTTAATCACGGGCATTGGGCAGCGGTTATAACAAATCATAATTGATCGACAATATTCAAGAATAAACATTTGAATGCAATTTATTCTACCGAAGACACATTTAATTCAATTGAAGAACACATATCTAATACATTTTAACACATACTATCAGATCTAAATTGTCACATTCAGTATGATCATATGGAACGACCGGGGACGATCGATTTTAAAGTATGGGGAGAGTTAATATCGATAAGAATAACGATATTATCTTGAAACTAATGTAACAATTGTATTGTTATATTGCATAATAAATTGAAATAGTTAATTAGGCACAGTCATAGCTGATTATTATAATTGATTCAAACCATGGTCAAGTTTAATTGGAAAAGCGAATCAAATTGAAAAGAACAAAATCAATTACCATATTTGTACATTTGAAATAACAAACACCTTATCAAAATTTATAATATAAATAACTTTAGAATGCATTGTAAAACAGTTCAGTTTGTGGAGTGATGAATAAAGCACATAGTGCTCAAATTTTACTTAACAACTGTTCTCATTGTTTTTTTGACTTGATAATAACATCTGTCATTAACTTGCGCAAGAAGTCGTTGATGCAAGAAGACAACGAATCGTCCGTAAATACGTATATAAAAAATTAACGGTATTCAAGATGACTTCATAACTTCATCATCAGATGCAACCCATCCACCTGAACTTGTGCGTTTAGTTGAATACGAACGCACACGATTGTTGGACATTCAGCATTACAACATTACAACTACACGTCCATCGTTCATTATCAATCATGTACAAGATTTGTTTGAATACATCAGCGATGAAGGCCGGGCCATTGTCCGAAACAATGATTTTGGGAAAATTAAAAACCAGACAAACCTCCTACCAGGCCCCGGCTGTAATTGACAAGCTGACTACGTTTGACATTTGTATGATCCCTATCGAGAGATTGGCACATTCTCAAATGTGCCATTGTGTGTGTCATGACGAGTCATTTCAAAAATAACCTCATCTTTTTGATTTTGTGTTGGTGTAACATGCACATTTTCATTTTATTATCAAAAAAACGCAAATAAAAAAATTTAGCTTTTATTGCACTAATATCTAACAACGGGAAACAATGCGTTGCACTTGACACAACAAACTTTGAGGTTATGTTTAAAATGGCACAATTCCGAATGTGCCAGTCTCCCGATAGGGTTGTTGACAACCATTGGCAACGACGCTACTTACCGAGGCTACCGCAACGAGCGCCACAATAGTGGTGGCCTGAAGCCAGGCTCTGCCTCCTACATTATCGCTTTCGCTGCCGTTAATGCGGTGCAATCGAATACTGGGATCATAATGACGTATTTAGTCAGATCACACGAGATTGAAAAGATGTGTTTGTGGCCCTCATCAGAATTTGGATTAATTTCTCCGACGAAATCAACGTAGATTTTTTCAAATGGGGCGCTCGTACGCTGACGCTTTACGACGTTATGGAAATGAAATTTACTTGGACTCCGACCCGTTTGATTCGCTGACGAATTTTAATAAATGAAACTACTCAATTTATTTTACAATTTAACGGCTCGCGGCTTGTTCAGGGATTGCGTTGATGTTTCAAAAAAAAAATGGAACTACTCAAAATAATTTTACAATTGAACGGCTTGTGGCTCGTTCAGGGATTGATTCTCAATTTATTTCACAATTTAACGGCTCGCGGCTCATTCAGGGATTGCGTTGATGTAAGTTCTCTCACTACGCCGCTCTCGAGTTTGGTTTTTTTTTACTTCCCCCCCAGTCGTTTGTAAAATTGTACAATATTGACGTCATATGCATATTTGCTGCTGCTTTGGTGTCAAATTCAATTTTGCACAATTAGCTGTTCTTCGTTTGTTTAACTTGCGCGTGTCAATTTCACTTATTTGCTGCATTCCCTCGTTGTTCTACTTCGGTTTTAGTTTTTACTGATTGTCAGTTTGCGATGCGATTTGGTCTTTGTGTATTCGTGTATTAGTCTCAATTTTTTTTCGCCTAATTTTGTGAATACCAGGGCCAACGATGATATATCTTGATATGCCCATTGTGTTCGATTTGGGATGATGTTCCATGTCTGCTGGTTTGTAAAATATTTATCACGAGCAGGTTGAATTGATGGTCGCAGTTGCTAAATCCACTTCCAGCTTCAAAGTCCGTGATTCCAGCTTCCAATTTATCGAATGTTTCTTTCGCCATCGCTCTTATCACTTTGAGCCCTATTCACTTTCCTCACTTCATGCAACCTTTTATTATTTGATGTTTTAATTTCACTGTTTGACTAAAGTGGTTAGGATGAGATTCAGAGCTGATGCAGCGCCATTTTAGTAATATACGAAGTGTAGGAATGTAAAATAAAGACTAAAATGGTTTATTCAACTTCAATTATAATGTGGTGCCAAACCGTATGCGTCGCGTATGTGTGACATACGCGTGCAACGGTTCATTTTGGCGTTCCGTAGTCGCCAGGCGCACACTACTGCATACGAATGCGTATGCAGGTGTGCGCATAGTCGGCTTTATATACATTTCATTTTACATAGCAACTTAACCACTGCAAACATCCCTGAACGATTCACGCTAGCACCTCCAAATCAGCGAACGTGCTCAATTGTTTACTCTGAAAAATAGTAATTCCGTAAAAATAGTATGGCTCAATAAAGTAAAATGGAGGTTTTAGAATATATAGACGAAATTACATCAACTCCGTATCCACCTACTAAAAGTTTTCAAGAGTTTATAAATCCAAACATTATTACAGCTTGTCTCGATGCCAACAAATTAAAATTTAAACATGATCGCGAGAAATATGCAATTATTCGTCCCAGATGTAAAAAAAAGTCAACAAACCTAATTCTGCAGCAAAACCAATCAGAATGGGCGTTTGTATTTTGGTAAGTATATGAAAAAAAAAACAGTATGTTAACTTTTCAATTAGTCGTGCATTAAATTCTAATTTGTCGGTTTTTTCCAGTTTGGATCGAAAAAAACTCCATTAAATGCAGTAGATTCTGCCAATCTCGTACAACAAAATATACTTCGTCAAAACCCCGACGCATCATCTCAATCTTTTACGCAAACTACACAAAATGAGCAAAACAACACCAAACTACAGCAGAAACAACAGCAGCATTTTGTTATTTTTTTGGATAATTTAATGATTGTGTTTTCAGGTTCGGCTCTGTCCGTGCTGTTTTTCCCACAATACATTACTCAATTCATCATCTTAATTATAACTAATAATAATAGTGTACCTCCTGCTGATTTGAAGAGACCATTTTCGAAACGTCTTTAAAATCAAATTCAAACGCAAAAAAATGACAACGCTAACAAAGTAAATTGAATATGCTTTACAAGAAAAAGCTCCATTTCTATTTGAAGACTTATCCATAAAAGAAATTTTAAAGTTAGTAGAACTCCTTTCACCTACCATTTTAAATTATTACAAAGCTTGTGGTCTTTGACCCACGAAATGCGTTCATTGATCGGTAAGTTGAGAAATTCGACACTGCGAGCAAAGACGCACCAACATCAAACATTTCTACCGAAAAAC